TAGATTTCCATTATTAATCAAAAAGGAAAATAGTTATAATCAGGGATAATTTGTTTAAAGAATATAAGCTATCAAATAGTCCTGAATCATTGGGACACCCTTTATATAAAAATTTATGCCATAAAAGGTTTGTCAAAATTTTGAGAAACAAAAATATCACGTTGTTTTTCATAACACATTTGTGTTGATGTTTATTATCTTTTATATTGTATTATATTTCTTGTGTAAAAGTATATAAATTAAGATTAAGGAGACTTTGACTCTGGAAAGTGTTGTCACATTTGCGAGACTCACAAACAGATTAGACTATATTTATTTCGGACTAATTTCTTACAATTACTATAAATCTTAACTTAAGTGTGAAGTGAGACAAACATACCGTATATATCGTATATAAGAAATTTCAATTTTATGCTCATTTAAATTATAAAATATTTTCAATTTAATGTAAAAATTAATTAAAATTACATTTTATATTAATATTCATTTAAATAATAGATTCCTAAGATTTATTTTTGTCATATATTTAAATGATGTATAATTTAATTATATTAAAATTATAGTACTAATATTAAAATATAGTTTTAATTAAGGTTACTTTGGACTGAAATATGTATAAGAATTGAGATAGAATTGAGTCAATTCCTATAGATTAGGATAACATTATAATTACATCGACTGATGTCTTGGAATTTACTTTACTTTGCGATGACATCAATGATAGGACAGGATGTGTATCAATGACAACGAAATCCAAATGAAGTAATGGTTATATCGTTAATGCGTTTCCATTGCACTCATCAATAAGTTTAACATTTTTTTAAAGAATTGATTAATTTGTGAGAAAATGTGTTTATTCTATAAATAGATATATGAAAGCCATTATGTAATCTATAAAATGTAATCAAATAAAATATGTAAATATTAGTTTTAATAAAAACATGGTTTTGACAATCAATGAAATTCAATGATGGATATGAAAGCGAAAGAAATGTTGAATTACTGTATATTTGCAGAAAATCAAAGACTTCAATGAATAAACGAAAACGGAATTGAAGTTAACATACATTTTATTTATTATTCCCATAAAAACCGAAACAAAACCAATACATGAAAAATACAGAATTATTTTTATATACACATAAAAATATGAGAAACAGAATATTCTTAGAATCGAGACTTGAATCTGAAATATTTATTCACTATATTTTGTTTTCTCTTTTTTATTAAACTTATTTATCGCACCGAAAAAGTTATTTTAATTTTTGTACAGATATATGAAAAACTTGAACAAATAAATTAAATTTCTTTATCGATAACATATAAAACACATATTAATCAATATTTTCTCATTTTAATTGAATTATTTATTGATCTATTTATTAATATTTATAATAGTATTGAAATCTCAAAACAAACTTAATATAACTATAGTTTTATTAGTAAGTTATTATAATATTTATATAAACACTAAATATTTTTCAATAATATTTTCCAACACTTGTCTCTTATCCGTTAATTAATATGATATTAAATCTTATATTTATTTGAAATAACAATAAATATACCAAAAGAGTGTTTTGTCTAAACATTTAAGACATTTTTGTTCGCATTTAATAAACAATAATAACAATTAATTGATTAAATAAAATCAATAATATAAGTAAAATTAGAGTACAAACGATTATTTGATGAGTTATCTCACATTCTGGCGTTTATTATAAATAAAAATTTAAGGGAAAATGATTTAAATAATAGTATTTTTATTAATAATATATTTGTAATTAAGAAATTTGAGATCAAAAAATCAATCGACGTTTGCTGTGATGTTATAGAGAGATGTGTTTGTATTACTTGCGTCTCCTTCCGGGGCCGTTGGCGAAGGACGCGGACGACATTCCCATCAAGTGTTTGGCCGCTTGACTGCCAGAGAAGCCACGGCTCAGTCCTAAATCAATGCCTCGCTTTTGGCTAAAATTCATATAAAGTTTTGATATATAAAGTAAACATTAATGTAATGTTAGAGGTTTTGCAGAATGTGTGTGATTATAGAAATAAAGTTTAATAATTCATGAAAGTGTTGTATTAATCTCACATAAACATATATAAAACATATATAAAACATATACTGAATAGAGAGAACATTTCATTTGATTTTTGCGGTAAAATGGTTACAAACAATGGGAACAAACATTTATCTGTTCTATAAATTGTTGTTTTTTGTGTGAATATATGGCAACACTTGGAAAGATGGGGTTTTGACTTACGTTTTGTAGTTCTCGTAATCGCTGTTTGCAATACTTTGTGAAAGAGATTCTAAAACATTCAGCACTTCTTCCGGATTTTCGATTTCAATTAAATTCCTTCTTATTCTGCTTTCAGAGACAATAGAAACCGATTGTAAAGTAAATTGGATTCACTCACAAAATGACCACAATTTACTATATTATGACCATTTTTGGCTATCATTTCATATTATTTATAGTGTTTATGTGCTCTCATTTTATTTATTAAATTACTACTTAAATAGATATAATATATTTCGTTAAATTACTTATACTGTATATTCATTGTGTGTGTAATATATTATTTAATTTAAATATAATTTATTCTGTTTTTGCAAACAATTCAATTACTGATGAATTTAGAAAAGAAATGTTGCAATAGTTTTTGTTATTGTTATCTAATCTTAGTTTATAAGTAATGAATGTCTTATTAACTCAATTTATTAATAATAATTTGCATTTGACGTCTGAGATAACAATTGATATGTCTTTGCAATCCTTATACTTATAATCGACTATTTATTTGTGGTTTTATTCTCAAACTTTAAACCAAAATCAAAATTTTATTTAACTTTTTACGAATTGCTTATAAATGATAAAAACCCTTTTCACTGAATTTATATGAAAGCATCACATTTATTACTGATTTATATGATATAAATGCCAACACAAGCTCTTACTGTTAAACAAAATATAAATAAATGAAAAGTTTTATTCTTATATGAAATCAAAAGGAAACTACAAATCTGTGGGAGTCTTACGGTTAGCCTCTTTTGCTTTTTGTAAGCTTCACACAAAAGTCATACCAATTATTATCTAATTTTCTGAAACTTCTGAAATTCATTTAAAAACAAACGCAAAATATTTGGATAAATATGTCAAAAATGTAATATTGAATTAAAAATATCAAATTCTCATATCTAATGCTTTATGAAATACTTAAAAGGCTTTAATGTTTGTTTTTTAGTGAATAATATTATTAAATATTAATATTTCTGCAATAATTATATGTTTTGAAAATAGTTTTGTGGATTCAAAACATTCATTTGAATGAGAAGTTTGTTTTTAATTAAAATAATCAAATATTTATTTAGTATTCAAATATTTGTTTGAAAATGTCTTTAAATATACCATAATATAGATGTAAGTATAGGTAAAAGTAATAAATGTCTCGTTATATTATATACAAAGTCTCAAGTATTGTGTCGTTTGATGCAAAACAACAAAACTATAAAGTATTGTGTCGTTTCATCTAATCACTTGATTGAGACAAAAGTCTAATCAACAAAATAACTACTATTTTAGTTGTTTTTATTAATTCACTTAAACATCAAAATAAAAGTTTGAATTCTTTGAGTCTTTCAAGAATATTCTTTCGATGGAAATGTTTGTTTTAGTCTTAATATTAAGTAACTTTTATATACTTTTTTGAGAGAAAGCTTTTGAAAGTTTTGTGAATATATTTTTGAATAATTTGTGTTGAATTTATAGTCTCATGAACTGAGAAAATGCTGGGAAAATATTTGTTATTTGTTTTTGTATATGAGATGCGCTTTATTTGCATTTTATTCGCGATTTATTCATATTTTTATTTTTTGTCCATTTTTAGAAACATATAATCTGAATATCGAGTCCAAATATATTTGTAAGTTATAAATATAGATTACATTTAAATTGGTTTATTACAGTATATTTTGATTTGAAAGTAATTATGATTTTTATGATAATTCTTTGAATCTATAATCTTCCTGTTAATTATGTCTAAATATAGTTATGTTTCTATATTTAACTCATTAATTATAACATGAAACATAAAGATTCACATTAATCTAATACTTTGCTAATATCATGGTTATTTTTATAATAGAAAAACCAATTGAATTGGATTGAAATATAATAGTTATTTTATGGCATTTAATAGTATTTTATAATTTAATTTTTAATCAATAACTTAAGAATTATATACCTTTTGTCATTTGTCGGAAACGTTGAGATCAATGAGATATATATTACTGATATTATTATAGCAATGAAAATACACTTTTCTCCGCTTATATTCTTCATTGTCTGAAATAAAAAAGAAATATTAATTTCTAATATTTTTAGTATTTTTGATATTTCAAAATTGATTTAACATTAAAATTATAACACATAATGATTTTCATATAAACTATACTCAATATTATTGATTGATTTTATAATTACATTATATTTGTCTTATATCGTATGATAAAAAGCAACCACTCTTTTACAGTTAAATAATTTACTATAGCTACAGTTTAATTAAAATAACAACCAAACTTAGTTGGTTGGCAAACCAAACTAAATGGTGAATAGTTGTCAGTAAGCATGATGGTAATAAGTTGCAAAGTGCGCAAAAATGCACCATAATATATTACTGTACAGTGAATCGGACCTAAAAAGGGACTTCAATTGTCGTCACTTCCCTTTGTTTGATGACTTCTATCATAGATTGATAACAATTTAACATACAATTGATTAATCGATTTCCTCATAGAAAGACCATTATATTTATATTACTGTTCCGAAAGTTTGATTACATTTTATATAGATATTTAATTGAGAGAAAAGACATAATATGTTAATAATTTTGTTTTCGTAGACAAACAAATACATTGAAAGAAAAAATAAATGACTTCCTTTAGATTTAGTGAAGAAAACGACGGATAAAATGCAATATTTTATTCATTATTTGGTATCATTTGAGACAAACAAAATACGTTAACTTTAACTTAATAAACAAAATAAGTTATTTATTCTAAGAACCACTGATTAATTATGGATATATCATATGATTTAAATCTAAAATAATAGTTAAGTTTACATGAATTGGTGTTTTTTGTTTGTTTTTTGAGATTTGTTGAGAGACTGTGATTGTGTTGAAAATGACTTCAAACACAATTTTATTTCACATAAAATTTTATTCCCGTTTTTATGATGTGTTGAATTAATTGCGCGCAAAGAATGGCAAATATTTTATAGTTATCTACAAATTAAAAGCCATTCAATGGCTGACAGATATATGTTTTGTAAATTTAATTTAAATTAATACTATTATATGCCTCAAGTATTATCAACATTAACTTACAGTAACTATAGCTTTACTGTCCATTGAATGCCTATTAGATCATAAAAAATGCGAAATGTTTACAACGAAATGTAATTTAAATGAAGTGATAAAAATGATTTGCAATAAACTTCTCATTTTGTTAAACAGTGAAATTGAATTTCAGAATTTGTTGTTATCCTTTCGCAGACAATAGTATTTTATAATTTGTTGAGACATTGTCGAGATTTTATAATTTCATCAGATTTTAAACCACAATTCTGCATAGAATAATGTGGTTTATAGGATGGTTTGGCCCCCCCTCCGGTTAAAAGTCTTATGTGATTTGAATTTAAATTACTATTAAGCAAATAGTCATAAAAGATACTAAAACACAAATATAATATTACAAACTATTCATTAAAATGTTGAATTATTACATAATTTGCTAGACATAACTATTTCAATATTTGAAAAATATTCTTAAAATAAATAGAAAAAGTAAAACAATAAATTTAAAGCCAATTAAATTGAAATGATATTTGTTTTAAAGCAAACGCTTTGAGCACAGAATCTGATATAATATTATGAAAATAATAGCATTATTGCAAAGATATGGAGCGAAAGTCAATTTATATGAGTTTTACAATAAATTTATAAAATAGAGAGAAAAATGCTTATAAATTATTCGTTACTCTATTTTTTGGACCTAACTTTTGATGCATTGAATTGAAGTGATATATTATACTAGCATTTGATTCACGAGTTTTTGTCATAAATATTAAATGCAAAAGAAAATCATCATTTTATGAGACGTTGATTCAAATAAATAATACACAAAAATGATTAGAAACACTATTAAACAAATGCCAATCTATAGGAGAGAGTGTAAAACAATTGGTAAATATTTGTCGCATAATATATGGTTTCGTGTTTATTAACATTAGTTTCTAATAAATGAAATCAATTGTTAATTAAAGACAAAACGAATCTCACAAAGAGTGAGATCTAAGAGGAAAACAAGTGTTGAAAAACATCTCAATTCAAGTGAATAAATGTAACGGAATTGAGAGTTAAGTCATCTCTACAGTAGTGTTGAGTGAAAATAAAAGTTATTGTGTTTTTCTTACGGATTGTTTGCGTTTCACTTCAAGAAAAACTTTAGGCCTATAATACTATTTGACGTCAATTGTCAAAAAGAAATACGAATTTTATTATAAGATTAAAATTATTTGTATAAAATGCTAACGAAAATGATATTAAATAAAAAATTGCAAATATTCTTAAGACAAATACCAATAGGAAATCGTTTGTTATACAAAAACCCATTTATAGGTACAAAAGTGAAGGTAAAGTCGTTTATTTCTTTTATTTTGTATTAAATTATATTTTCACAAAAAATAATCTACAATTTTTAGCACATTTTTCATAAAAAGTTATAGAAAATTAAGTAATTTATAGCTAAGAATTCCCGCGAATGCAATATATCTTTCAATTATATGGAAATATTTTAGAAATTTTTATTAAAATGTTTAATGAAAAACCTAGACCATATTATAATGTAATGTATATGAAAAATCTATATAATAATTATTTAGATTCCTATACTATTTATAGCATTACATAACTT